GGGGGGGGGTGGCGCAGCCATGGGAGTGGGGCTGGGAGAGTGGGTGCGAATCGGAGGGTGCTCAGGGGGGCTGGGAGAGCAGGCAGGGAATGGGGTCTGGCGGGGGTCCCCCCATGGTCCCTTCCCTCCTCTTCCAGCCACCACTCCTTCGCCCCTTGCTTACTGGCATGGTGTCCGGGTCCAGCTCCCTGCTGCAGCAAGCGAGGACTGCCCAAATCACTGAAGCTGTCCAAATCTTTTCTGAATTGATTTGGAGAGCTTCAAATCAATTTGGACCTTTTAATTGGTCCCCTCATTTGATTTGGATTGAAAGATTTGATTACCGAATCAGGCCAAATCTCCTCCAAATGGAATCAGCACCTGAAGCTTCACACAGCACTAGTAGTAAACTCAAGGCTTACTCAAGGCAGTAAGCTTTAAGGGTCAAGTCTTTATTTTTCAATGTGTTGGAGAGGTGTTTTGTTTGCATATGGCAGTTTTGCAAAATTCAGATAGGACACTCCGGCTGTAGTGCCATTTAAACAAGCACCATTTATTATTTAGTGCAATATAACTTTCAATTAAAAAGCTGCAGTAGCCCATCATTTTAAATTATTTTTATAAGGCTTTGAAGTGTTATGTTTCAAACAATATATTTCAAAATATCATTGTTTTAAATCGCTTTGGCTTAAATTGCTGCAGCCTCTTTGCTAGTACTGACATAGATGTGAAACATAAGTTTCCACCTTGCTTCTAGGTATACGAAGTAGGATATCATTAATTAATTTTTAAAGCATTTTAAACCACAACACGCAATTAAAATATTAATTTTTAATTTTCCTAGGTGTAGCTGAGAGTAGGGAATAACATAAAACTAAACCTTGCTTTTCTATTTAAGTAAATTGCAAAGCTTCCTTTGACTTCAAAACAATAAAGTTTAACTGGCTCCAATTGATTACCAATGTAATCGAGAAAAAGAAAGTAATTTCTTTGTCTGAACCTTGATTTCTGTGCGTCTGTCTTAAGTGCATCTTTTTCTCCCCTCAAAATAGTGCGCAAGTTAATTAGCCTATTTTCTTTTTCACACTTCCCTGCAATAGTTTGTTTTGTGGATATCGTCCTGGGATTTGATATCTCTTCACAACAGCGAGGACATAATTTGTTTCATGGACAATCCCAGCTGAAAGCATATCTTCACGAGATTCTGCGAGCCCTCACATCCCCAAGCAGCGTGAGCTGCAGTAAAGAGACAGGCGCACAGAGCAGTGTGGCGGTTCAAGTGAAGAACACAGACAAGCTGGTGTCCGCAAAATTCCGCATTGATAGTCAAGAAATCCTAAACAGCCTGACAAATGTTGTGGTCAATGGGTCATCCCATCTCGATGTCAGCTTCCTGGAGCTGCTTTGGCAAACATTTGAAAACAAGTCTGATGATCAAAGACGAAGTAAGGTAACGTAGCTCTTTATCCCAAAATAACTTTAAGAAAAAGACCAACCTGTTTCTGACCTGTTTTTTTCAAACTCTCTGTTCTTCCTTAGGTGATGCTTGTTTTTTCAGATGGCTTGGATGATGAGGTGGAAGTACTTGAGCAAAAATCAGAAGAACTCAGAAAAAAAGGTACTTTATAGAATGAAAATATTGAAACTATTAAAATTATTTTTAAAAATCAATAAGTGCATTACTCATCTCAAAAGCTGAAAAATCAGGTCCTGTTTCATCATGTCTATATGTCCCCTTTTTAGTAGTTGCATTGCAACTGACGTACTAGATCACATGCTGCTAGAGAGAGTCCCACCATAATCTGATTATTAATTCCTGTTTGTCAACATTTGCTTTGCAATAAAGTTTTTAAAAATATGAGTATAGATATGATGACCCATATTCATCCCCAAGTGACACAGTGTCAAATAACAAACGTAAAAGCATGAAAGTGTTCAGTACTTGCAACTGGGGTATATTTTCCAAAAGGCTGTGGTCCCACTTATAGCTATAATTGAGGGCCAGGCTTTCAAAACTGCTCGCATGCACCCAGTATGATGAGCTGTTTTAAAACTGGCAAATTGCTTTGGCATATAAATAAGTCAGGCTCTTTCAACTATCTGGACCTATGCATGGGGTTATGCTGCTTTGGAAACTTCTGGCCATTGTATCCAGATATGCAATAGATACATTTTGTAGTAGATAAATAAAGAAGTACTTCTCCAGTTCAGGATAAATGCTTGACTGCTTTGCTTTATTTCCCTCCCCTTATACTTTTAAGTCTATTTTAAGTCTATCACCAGAGCTACTTCTTGTCTTACAATGTAGGTGTAATTTATTGTTTCTGTTTTCCATTTCTGTTTTCCTATATCATCACAATTTGTTTGTATTGCTGATTCCTTAGGACTGACCTGGTAACAACAAAATGTGGCAAGTAAGTTGGCTGAAATTTTAGAGATGTGATCCAAAGGCTACTGAGATTGATAGGATTTTTTTCCTTTAATTTTAGTGGGTTTCAGATTAAGCCCTAAGTGATTTAAGCGAAACCTACAAGAAGCTAGATTATCCCATCATATGTGGAAGCACACTGAGCAACATGCCTGGGCACAGCTGCCAGTACACAAAATGAAAGTGACTGTCCTGACTACTGACGGGCAGCCAGAACAACACCAGGATGTGGTACTAGTAATGTCTCTAAACCCAGCCAGCATCCATTTACACATTACACGTTCAGACATGCATTGCAAATAACATTCCAAAGTACAATACAACTTTTCAGCACCTCTTTCGTTGCGCATTTCAGCACTGCCAAAGACAACGCAATCTAAACTCAACAGTCTTCTTAATTACATTTATGGCCCAGTTCCTCATGGATCAGTCTGGCTCCTTTGTTTTCATTGTATTTCTTTGGTGCATTTAAATAAGATAAAGATCTAGCCCAACATGTCTTTCTCATTTCAGTAAAAAGACTTTATTTTTCAGAAAATTTTTTTTCAGGGAGATTAAGAATGTGTCCTGTGAATAATTGTGCTGAGCATTAGGGGTGTGCAAAATGGGCCATATTCAATTCAGATTCAGCCCGAATCAGGGACAGTGATTCAATTAGTTAATTCAAATCACTGTCCCAGATTCAATTTGGCTGAATCCACAGATTTGATGCCGATTCAGAGAATCAGCGATTCGGACATAGACACAGCTTTAAATGTTTTTTCTACATACCTCAAGGTACCTGGTACAACTCGTGAATGCTGCAATGCTGGAGCATCCCACAGGAACATGGTGGGGCCCCCTACATGCTCGGCAGCAAAACTGGAAGTGGACTGGAAGTACTTCCGATCCACTTCCGGGTACAACACAGAGCGCACAGGAGGGGGCCATGCCTCCCCAGCTCAGCATTTGGACATGGGGGGAACCTGGGTGCCCCCTCAAACCCAGGAGGGACCAGTTGCCGAGCTTGGGGGGCATGGCCCTCTGCTCCCCTGCAGACCCTGAAGTAGACCAGAAGTGCTTCTTGTCCATTTCTGGGTCTGCTGCGGAGTGCGCGGGGGACCCCACCATGCTCCTGTGGGACGCTCCATCTGCCCCAGCATTGCAGCATTCATGGGCCACCTGGTACCTTGAAGTATGTAAAAAAAACCCAAAAAACATTTAAAGCTGTGTCTGTGTCCAAATATCCAAATCTTTCCAAATCCCTCCAAATCTATTTGGAGGGTTCTGACTTGATTCGGAGAGATTAAAGGGTTTCCTTATTCATTTCGGATTTGGAGATTCGGCCACAGAATCAGGCCGAATCTCTGCCGAATCAAATGAGGGACCCAAGATTTGCACAGCACTACTGACCATCACAGCAGTGACACTGTCTTTGAAGGTCATGCTTTATTCAAAGAATTTGTTACTAGACTGCTACTGATTATTGATTGACATTGGGCATGTCTACACATGCATTTAGGTGTGCCTAAATTTAATGCACATTAGCTTAATGCTCAGTAAGGTGATTTAGCTCGAGTCTACTCATGCACACATTAAAATGCATTAACGCCATGCACACGGACTGACATGGGACTAAAGTTAGTCCCAAGTCAGTCCATATATAGCATTAATGCACCTTAGCACGCCTACATGTGCATTAATGCATTTTTGCTATTCACACCTATATTTGATACCTGCTTTTGCAGGTATCAAATATAGGTGCGAATAACCTAAAATCACTATTTTTAAGGCACATTAAGAGCATGTATGTGTAGACATGTGCCCTTAATGCACCTTATATCAGGCCAAAGCACCTTAAATTGGTGCATGTAAATGTGCCCACTATCAGCCATTTATTTTCCATACATTAATTATGGACTGATTACAGTAAAGTGCAAAAATGAGAAATAAATTGTATGCTGTAATCTATGACCTTTATTTTATACCCTTATAATAAGATTAAATTATGTCCTGTGGTTCCTATCAACAGAATAAAGGTTTTTTCTTGGATAAATGTAGGACTTTCTTACATTGGTAATCAATGTTCTTAAACAGGATTGGATGCACTGATAACCATTGCTCTGGAAGGAGTCTCCAACATTCACGAGCTTCAATTCATTGAATTTGGAAAAGGATTTGAATATAGGACTCAGTTAAATATTGGCATGAGTAATATTATGAACCTGCTGTCCAAGTATGTGGTAAGTCATTCACAGAATCACAGAAGCATCAGTGTGTCTAGTTAGATCTCAGATTAAGGCCTTTACAAATTTACAGAAGTTTAGGGCTGGAAAGGACCTTGGGTGATCATCAGGTCCAGCCCCCCTTCTCTGGGCAGGAAAACTGCTGGGGTCAGATAACCCAAGGTATGTATCCAGTCTCCTTTTTAAGATCTCCAAGGTAGGTGCCTGTACCACCCCTGCTGGGAACCTATTCCAGAGTCTGGTCACACAAGCTATGAAGAAGTTTTTCCTTATATCCAGTCTGAAACCTTCTTCTAGGCGTTTATGACTGTTGCTCCTGGTTTTCTCCTGGGGCACTTTAGTAAGTAATTGTTTGGCTAGCCTTTGATGCTCACCTCTGATATATTTGTAAGCTGCCACCAAATCCCCCTGAAATCTACACTTTTCTAGGCTGAACATTCCCATAACTGTCAGCCTTTCATCATATTGCTTGTTCTTCAGGCCTCTAATCATATGAGTGGCTCTTCTCTGGGCTCTCTCAAGCTTTTCCACATCCTTCTTGAAGTGCAGAGCCCAGAACTGGATGCACTACTCCAGCTGCAGCCTCACCAATGCCGAGTAGTGTGGGAAAATAACTTCCTTAGTTTTGCTTGAGATGCACCGGTTGATGCATGCCAGCGTATTGTTTGTTCTGCTAACTGTAGCATCACACTGGTGGCTCATATTCATTTTATGGTTAATTATAACCCCCAGGTCCCTTTTGGATGTGGTGCTATCTAGTGTAGCACCTCTGAGCCTCTAAGTTTGTTGCAGATTTTTCCTCCCCAGATGGAGCACTTTACACTTCTCAGTGTTGAACAGCATCTGGTTCTGGTCCGCACATCTAACTAATCTATCTAGCTCCGCCTGGATCGTCAGCCTATCTTGATGCGTACTCACACTACCCCACAGCTTAGTGTCACCGGCAAACTTTGCTAGTGTGCTTTTCACCCCCATATCCAAATTATTGATAAAGATGTTGAAAAACACTGATCCAAGTACCGAAACCTGGGGGACTCCACTGGCTACCTTTTGCCAAGTTGACCCATTATAAAGGCCTTATTCATTTCCCTCAAGGACTGAATAAAGCTATTCTGCTAAGATTAGCAGAATAGTCTCAGAGGGCAAGTTTTTCTGGTAGGTTTGCCCTGCTTTGCAGAATCTGACTGGTTCTCATTAATGAAGCATCCCTCAGCTGAAATACCCCATCATCTGCATAAATGTAGATGGCATTGGAGCTCTCCCACTTCGTGGGTCTCAGTGCAGGAAGGAATAGCTCAAGAAAGTGTGTTCAGAAGATTAACAATTCTTTCTGATTAGAATGGTCCCTGGGAGTAATGAGCAAATGGTGTAAAGTACAGCAGTCCGGACACAGCTCTAATTTAGACCTGGGCCAGGCTACCTACCAGGTAGGGCTGGAACCAGGTAGCTACAAAGAATCTAGCATATTTAGCAGAAGGTCCCATTATAGTCCTTTTGAATTGCATACGAAGCTCTTAGTGGAGTTGGTAGCAGGTAGAAGGATGTTCCTGACAACTAAAGTATCTCACACAGTTGTTTTTCTGTTTTTCAAGAATGCTGTTGCTGAAAGGAAATGCTGCTGTGTCTTCTGTAAGTGCAGTGGAAACAGGGGTCCTGCTGGACAGCCAGGAAGTAAAAGAGAGAAGGTAAGAATGTTTGTGTGATACTTCATAGGAACTGCAAGGAACCAACCACATCTAGAAACATTCAAGCATAGGTTGATCTTGTATTGCCTTTGCTTACATTTATTTCACTTGGCGGAATACCAAAAAATAATAGTGCATCTCTTGTAATCCTTAGTGGCTGTTGTTCTGTGAGATCTTTTACTATCAGGAGATAAAAATAGGTTTCCCTGATATGATGCTGCTGTTTTGCAATTTAGCACATAGAATTGATGATAAAGGTTGCATTATTTTTCTGTTCTGATCCCATCTTATTACTATCACTAATTGTATTTTGGTAGCCCCTGGAGGACCCAGCCAAGATTAGGTAAGAATGTTGCTAGATATTATGCAACCCCATAAAAGAAAGCCCGCTCTGAAGAGTTTAAAATGTAGGGAAAAATGTAGGAAAAAGGGATCTTAACCCCGCATTACATATAGGGAATTGAAGCATAGAGAAATCAAAACGTAACATTTAAAGTGGTAAATGATTTTGGGTGACTCGGTTGCTGGGTGTCCAACCAGACGAACCTCACAGGCCCAGGGTCCCAAAAGCACTGACTTCCCGTGCCCTTCGAACGTCTAGGTTTTTTTAGATAACTCAAGGTGGGCAGCCTGTAAGTTTTGAAAGGTTGAATCCAAAATGACTTGCCTGGAGTCCTACTAGGAAGTCTGTGGCAGAGCTAGATATTGAGCTTACTGAGTCCTACCCCAGTTTCTCACCCTTCATATCTATCCTCCCCGTGTATATAGCAGTACTTTTCACTTATGCTAACTGCTTTACATCTTAGAAGATACTGTTAGTAATTTTAGAGGAAATAAATATTTAAGGAATCACATTATTCACCCACACTCCCACAGACCGGTTCTGTGGAATTATACTTACAAGGTAAGTCACGCTAGAGGTAAAGGAAGGCAAGTAAAACATTTTCACCAACCTACCAAGAAGGGGTGAGACTAGCTCTGAGTTGGAAGGTCTGCAGTTTTTCTCTTGGGGGTATCATTGGCAACAGATATATATGCAAAATCTGTCGGAATCTGAATAAAGGATAAACTCAGTAAAGCTCTTGATATTTGCATGTACTTTTTTCAGTGCATCAGGGAGCTATTTATGAAAAATGAACAAAATTAGACCTGTGGGTTGGTTTATTTGTATTAATAAGAGTTTACTTGGCTTCTAAAGCATTCAGAAAGTCAGAGACAAACACAAGTATTCAAACGTTAGATATATCTCATGTCGCTCTGAAGGAGCCATGATCCCTTAAGTAATGAGTAATGTTATTATAGCGAGTATGATCAGATAAAGTTCAATATCAAACTAAATAGAAAGTAATATCACAGATCTGTAACAGTTCTAGACAGTAGTGAAGATCAAAGATAAATATTTTTCTCCTGTTGCTTTATCAATACTTTAGATAAAATTGTTGTGTATTTTATTTATACATTTTATTCATACAAATATTTACACAAATATTTCAAAATTTAACACTTTATAGTAATGTCTAATCCTCTAGAATTTCAATTAATTGATTCCCTTTTAGAATTTCTGAAAGAAGCTGTGCCCTTTGGGAAATAATTTTACACAAATTCTTGATAAATACATGTCCAACTATGTGAAAAGTAAGAGAATATGTTTTTGATGAATATTAAATACACAAAAGAAATCAAGATAATCCAATCCTGACAGGTATCCATTTAACCTGCTGTCTGTTCCCTGAATCCATTTCTTCAACATTTGTGAATAATGCTTGTGAATATACAGCCAACAAATGAAAGTTTATTTGTAACCTGTGAACTGAAACTGCCCATTGCCAACTTTTACCCATGCCTAGATAAAGGACTCCATCTGGACAGTCCTTAATAGTTAATATTATTTTTTTCTGCTTGAAAATATTTATCTTTTCCTTTGCTGTCTTAATTTCAGGGACTACCAGGCCCAAAAGGCAGTCCTGGACACTCAGGAGAAGAAGGAGATCCGGTAAGTCATTGCACTTGGCTGTATAGCATTGGGAAAAAATATTTTAAAATTAAACATCCACACTAATTTTTTTGTGGGGGGGAGGTGGCGGCTGGGATCAACATGAAAAGAGCATCTCATAACCTGCTGCATCTAGTTTCACATATCTTTGTACCTGCTCATCATATAAGTAAAGACAAAAGAGTATGTAGGCAAGTGCTGCCACGTGAATTATAGGCATAAACAAATGTTACCTTTGTGCCCCCATAAACATTGTTATGCCCCTTGTTCTGCCATGAATGCCCAACATCTGTGGTCATGACATAGGTGATATCAAATTGTTACACTGTTTGGTGGCACATGTCTGTTTGATTTAAGGTGAGAGAGCATTGGCAGCCCTGAATGGGCCATGCTCTCCAGTAGCTCTGGGCAAGCACTCTCAGGGGTTCAGAGGCTCCATGCTGTGCACCCCAGGAATTCCCATTCCTGGGGCATGTGGGATGGGGTCCCTGGACCCCTGGGAGCTCTGAAGCCATTTGAGATACTCCAGGAATATATTTCTGCAAATGACAAAACACCAGGTTTCCCTGGGGACAGCGTTTCCCAATGTTTGCAGAAATGTGCACCCTGGACATCTCTGGGTGCTTCTTTGCTAGTCGGGAAACCCGGAATTCCCCTGTTTGTAGAGATACATGCCCAGACTCGAGGCACACTTCTGCAAGTGGGAAAACCCACTTGCAGGCACTTCTCTGCTAGTGGGGAGACCCAGAGTTCCCCCATTTGCAGATGGTTGCCCCACGTATTGTCCTGCAGGATCAGACCCCAGGCACTCCCAGAGTGATAGGGGCCTGACCCTGTGGGATAGTGGATGATGTCTGTTTTGCCCAATGAAGCAGATTAGCTGTGCTGGGACACATCCCAGCACAGCTGATTTACTTCATTGGGCAGTGTCTGTTTATACCCTATGTGCCTATTTTGTACCAGTGCTTCCAGGACGAAATCTGCAAACTGGTGCAGATGCACATTTAAATCATAGCCCAGTTAGGTAGGAGGTTATCTAACCATATAAAAAACCTCTTCAATAATGTGAAGAGCAAGCGTTCACTATAGGTTGCAGTTATTTAATCTCTTTTGCTTGTGGGCTTCCAAGATTAAAAGCACACAGCCTGAGACAGACACTAGGAAACACTTTAAAACTGATAGATGTAAATCCATTAATAAATAATTGGATTTACATACCTTATATATCTTGTAATACAATTCATCTTTGGATGAATATGATTAATCTTTGAATTACCTATGTTTAGTGTTTTTTTTAATGTCCTTCACTTAGTTCGACTTACCTTGCAGTGAGTCAGACCTGCTAAAAACGAAAAGGTAGTTTCAGTGTCAATTTTCTTCTGTTTCAAAGCATGGAAAATAACAGGCAAAGAAGAAATAGAATCCACCCTCTCCAATCATAAGAAATTAAGCCTGAGGGTTCAGAAATTGGAATCCATGCAAATTATTCAATGCTTCAATTCTCATATTAATGAATATACATTATCTTGCTGAATGAAAAATTGGGTAGCAATGCATATAGTTATGGTTGTCTAGCAGTTTTTACTGGGAGAGCTTTATTTCTGTTGTTTTAACTTTGCCAAATTTCACCTGTTTGGGCTGAAATGGCCCTTAGTGGGACAATTTAGCCTGAGGCTAAATTTTATTTGGAAAGTTTCAGCTGCCCAATCCTGTTGTTACCAGGTATGTTAAGTAAACATTTTAAAAAGTTTTACTTCTATTTAATAGCTAAACCCTAGTGCTTCTATCTTTTGGTGGATGGGCTTGAAACTAATTCTTTGGGATCAAGTATGTGACTTTTGCCATCCTTTTGAAAATGTGCTCAAATCTTAGCAAATTCTAAGCTTTTGAAAAAAATTCAGATCAATTATTTTCAGCAGAGAAGAGGTGCTTTAGAAGATGGTTTGCATCTGCATTGAACATGCTCTACCCCCAATGTCATGTATATCCTAGTCCTTACAAATGTCATATTTCATATAGTAAGTAGGATTGACTGAGATGTGCTGTCATTCCACTCTCCCTAGGGTCCAAGAGGACCGACTGGACCAAGAGGAGAAATAGGCACTCAGGGCTGTCAAGGCGTAAAAGGCGTTAAGGTAGGTCTTTACTGAAAACTCACAGCATAACGTTCTTTGTATTTAGTTTTAGTTACCTTATTTAAACTAATACTTCTTATTTTAAATCTTTTTCAGGGGAGCCAAGGAATAGGTGGTCAAAAGGTACAGTACTGATATGCTTATTTCCTTAACTCTGGTTGTTTCAGGTGTTTGGAAGTATAAATAAGAGATGCTAGTGCAACAAAGAGATGGAGAAAACACAGAGTCTCTTTCACCATATTTAAGCATCCTTAAGATTAAAGATCTTTATTATTATGTGATTCTACTTGAAGGCTGACTTTTGCAGTCTTTCTCTATTGGGTCATTATTGTTTGGGTTTGATAGAAAAAACCCCCCTGTCTTAATTGACCAGGACCAATGTTACAAATGATCTATTTGTGTTTAACATGTATCAGGATGCACATTTGTTTTTGGCAGTAAGATTGTAAAAATGTACATGGAAATACCAAAATATGAACATATTATTTCAAATATAATATGAAATGCCCCTTACCACATGTACAAATACTCGGGGTTTGTTTGTGCAGAGCAATTTTTTTTAAAATATATTTTAAAATTTTTAATGCATTATATTTTAATATATTTTTTAAGACTTTTAATATACATAATGTATTTTTAAGTGTGACAGTCAAGAAAAAAGAATATATAGAGACTCAGAAAGAAAATAGAGGTCACAGTTGAGATTTCCATATGACAGAGACAGAAATAAAATATACTACGATGACAAAAAGAATTGGTAATGTTCTGATTCTCAGATTGTATTTGTCATACTACAGTGTTTATTGGCAATAGTTACTCTTGTTGTCTCTTCCCTTCAGTGGTTTGAGTGTGACTTCATCTATGAAAGTCTATCTGGATGGTAAAGATAACCAATAGACTGGAGCTTTACAAGAAAATAAAAATGCAGATGCCCTGCCAGTTTAAAACCCTGTCTTGCTTCCAGTGACATTCTTGAAGGTTTTACCAGGGACTGGTGGGTAGAGTATTGCAATGTTAATTCTTTTTTATCCTGTCTTGAGGACAGCTGCTATGATGCCCATCCTGCTGTACATTTAAGGAATTAGATTTAAAGCATTTGTTCACATATTCTCAAACCTGTGTTTACTTTTTACATCTGTAGTCAGCTACAGGTGTGCACATGGATCCATCTCTGCTGTGCTGGGAACACTTTTCTTTAGGGGCTCATCTTTCATGTCACTTTTCCTGCCTCAGGGAGAAGAAGGGGACGGTGGAGTTGATGGAATTGATGGAGAACAGGTAAATAGCTTTTCTTCTCATTTCCTGTTGACAGCAATAAATGTTTTAAAGTGAGAGAAAAAAATTACCTGTTTTTTTTTCCATTCCTTAAAGGGATCGTATGGGTTTCCAGGGAAGAAGGGAGAAAGGGGTGATGATGGTTACCAGGTAAGGTTTTATACTACCTTATTTGAGTTTGAAATAAAGGATAATGAGATGAACATCTCATGAGGCTGTCTGAGGAGCAAAATTTCAGCTAAATACCTGGAGAGGGGGAAATGACTTGTTACCACAGATTACTGACTGGTACTGACTGCAACTCAACCAGGCTGGATCCATTACTATCAAGAGTAAAAGTAATAATGTAGTCAACTTCCCACTTCCCACTTCCTATGGTATGGAATGAGAGTTTAATAGAGTTTAATAGAGCTGTGTAATTTCCAAATCAACTGATACACCCCATCCCACCTCTAATATCCTCTCTGGGATGGGGGACCTCAAATTAAATCTTCTTCTTGTCACATTTAGCCAAATAGGGTTTTTTTGTTGTTGTTTGTTGTGGGGTAGGGGGGTTTACCAGTGGCACCTCAGGCTGATGAGTAAACTAAGATTCACTGAAGGATTCGTACACTTTGGTTGGGAAGCAGTTAACATGCACAATGCACACATCTAAAAGTAATTTCTAGTAACCACTTACCAAAGCCTATTGTTACAACCTTCTATAAGCACTTCTATTAGTTGTATTTTCTTACTGAACCCTATATGTATGCACGATGCTATACGAAACATCATAATGTTTTACTGACTGAAATTCCCCTTGCATGAACTCAACCAACATAAAGGTTTTTGCTGACAAGCAAAGCACACACATCATTTAAAATGTAAACAGCCTGCATAACACAAGATCCTAATCATAAAAGCAAAATAACAGGTAACAAATTCCAGATTCTGGAATGTGCTCATTAGGAGGCAGATTCTGCCACCCTTATCTTAATTACCTTCTATTGCTGGTGACTTCCCTGGAAAAAATTGTAAACTGCTACAATTGTAAAGTGTGAGTAAGGGCAGCAAGATCTGGTCCATAATGTACAGACAGAGGACAGGACCAGACTTCATTGGCTTTAAAAATTAATATTATACTTAGATTTTTTTTATATTGTGTCAAAAGAAAATTCAGGAAAGTAACTGCTGTTTTATTTTTTAAATGGAAATACATTACATATTTAGGGGAATTCTGAACCCAATCCTTGGCCTGGGTCCATATTTGCAAAAATCCTATATCTTTATAAAGGACTGAGAAAAAGATCCTGGATTAAGACAGCTTGTTGGTAACTTGTGGGGTCACTTATGGTTACTCTCGTTTTATCATCATCATCAATTGCAGTCACAAAAATTATTGTTCAGATTCTAACTTTTATGATTTCAGGGTAGTTCAGGGCCAAAAGGACCTCCTGGTGAGCGTGGCAAGAAGGGTTTTCGAGGAGATCCCGTAAGTTTGTCCAAGTTGGAGTTCTAAACATGGCAATAGTCATTGGTCAGATAAAGCACTGCTAGGTGTAACTTATGAATACAATGGTCACAAATAGACTATGGGAAAGGAAGAAGAATATAACTGATAGTTTGTATTTCCTGTTCATTCTTATGTTAGATTTGCTGTCTGGATTGTATAATTTCTGCTGGAAAAAACAAGTACTTCCTGCATAATATTAATCAATTATTTGTTGTTTGTAGTCCATGGTAGTATCCATATTTTGCTAAGCATTTTTCTGGAACGTTTGTCAGGGTGGGCTCTGCTTCAAGTATCTGACCATCTAAGGACATAGGCAAAACAGCAGATGAAAGTTAGAGGGATGGAAAGGAAACAATACAACATAGTATAATCATTCCTGTCCAGTAAATTGACTGTAGGCAGAACAGTGAAAGAAGGGGATAAGATGTATGAGCAAAGAAGAGGCCTTGCAGATGGTCTATTAGAAGTGGCACCAAGCATGCGGGTCACACACAAAAAGGCACAGAGATGATTAGAAAAGCAGCTGAAAATTCATAGAATCATAGAAAATGGGGGGGTTGGAAGTAGGCCTGTGTGAAGTGGCTAGTATTCACTTTGGATTCAGATTCAGCTGATTCAGGGGACAGTGATTCGATTCAGTGATTCAAAACACTGTCGCAAATCAATTCAGCCAAATTTGATTTGGAGATTCGGCTGCTGCTGTATCGGCTGAATCTCTGAATTACATAGGCCCGTCTCCCACCCGCTCTCCCAGCCCTGACAATGGCTGCCCTGCCTGGCCCAGCTCCTGGTGCTTTGAAAAAAAAAAGCCTGCACCCACCAGCTGCTGCCAGGTGGGAGGTGGGGGGCAATCCCCGCTGCCCCTCACTGCCCCACATCATGTGAGGGGATCTCCCACGAGTCCCCTGACCCCCCCCCGCTCTCCCAGCCCCCCCATGGGTGCCCCGCTCACCACAGCCCCAGTCCTTTAAGAAAAAAAAAACCCCAAAACCCTTGGACTCACCAATTCCCGCCTGGTGGGGGTGAGGAAAGTCACGTGGTCAGAGTGTGGGTGGGGGTGTGAATGAAGGGGACTGAGCAGCTGCATTTTGCCTGGTTATATAAATGCAAATTAAAGGTCAGACCTCTGAGACACTGAGAGGGAAGCATGGAAAGGTAAGAGGCAGAGCTGTATTTTACCTCCCATTGAATCAAAGGAATTAGTACCACATGTGAAATTTCTTAATGCTTTATATTTTTCATATTTTTAAGTATGCTTTTGCCTAAAATTTGCCCCATTGTTTTTAGCGTTAGCACCCTGTACTCCTTTCAACCTGTGCTCCCCACATGAAATGTTCATTGATTCTAATGGGAATGCTACAGTTTGGTGACTGACGATAGGATAATGAACTCCTTCATTATGTTCATCTCCCCAGTGCTTTATGAAGTGTCTTCTGTGAAATCTTGCACAGTTGGTGGCTTCATAAAAATTAGAGCTACTAATATTTTACCAGAGAATATTTTGTCTTTGTTTAGGGGACCCCTGGATTGGACAATGATATAAGAGGGCCTAAAGGTTCAAAAGGAGAACAGGGAAGACAGGTAACAAACATGCCTTTTCTTCTAGTAATTTTTTCAGATATTGACATACACTCTAATCTAGCTTTTTTTAGAGTATGAAAAATAGCACCATGGATAACCACGGTTATTACAAATAATATAGAAATTCTTTAGCATCTAATTTTAATACCAAAGAATGTACCAGATAGGTGATTTGATATTTGTGAATTTGCACACAGCTCTTGAAGGTGACTTATGTTTATTTCAAAGAGATGGAAAAACAGCTAAACTTAGCTGTATGACAAACCCTAATTCCTGCTTCATATATGACAGAATTGGCTGATCTGTACATTAACTCAGTGTCTAAAGAAAAGAGAAAATGAGAACTGTGATGGCTGACATAAGTAGCACCTTCTATCCAAGTATATTTTGTGTATAGCCTAACTCTTTATTTTTTTATTACTGCTTTTCTAAATATACTGTTCCAGAAAGGCTTGCACAGTCATGTTGTGTAGATGAAAATTAAAATGGTACGCTTCAGGATTTTACTCTGACAAATGAACAAACGCAGATGTTGTATGACAGAAACATGATGACAAGACTATTTTTCCCTATGGATTTGCATGTCTACTTATGATTTCTTGGCTTGAAAGTTTAAGAACTACAGCTACACTTAAGATATGCAGGCCATAAAATTTTAATTGCTTATTTTACAGGGTGATAGAGGACCAAAAGGGTCAGCTGGCTCTCCGGGCTCTAGAAACTCTTTGGTAAGAACTTAGATAAGCAAGAACATAAATCCACAAAAGGGAAGAGTGATCTCAAGGTCCATGGGTGCCTGTAGACATGCAGGACATTTGCTCTGACACACTGTAATTATAGCACATTGGTTCAGACTTGATTACTTGCTAATTAGCATGCTCCAGCAGCTTCACCATCCCAGGTATTCAGCGTCCCCACACTTCAAAATGGTGGCAGGGGCGGTTTAACTAAAGCTCATCAAACGAGTGACTGCATCGAGCTGCTCAGGAGCTGCTCTAATTCATGCTCCCCCCACTCCTGGAGCACATGTAAAGATACCCAATGTCTCTCCATCAACCTTCACTCACTGCAGAAAGGTAAGAGAAACAGATCTCTGATTATTCCCAACCATCAATAATAGAATCTCAGGCAAACTCTTTTGAATATGATTCTTCAATACAAGTGAGTATCAGAAGAAAAAAAATAAGTTGGTGAAAATATTCCCCCTCCCTCCCCCCATTTCCCAGCCCCATCACTCCCTTCTTCTCTCAAAAATGGAACCTACTACAAAACTCACTAGTTTCTGTCTGCCAACCTTTTTGTGACTTCCTGTCTCTTCATCTCTTTTATCTTTCCAAAGAACAAAAAAATATGCAGCAATAAGCATTCATGTTAAAATGTTCTTTTTTTTGGTGCAGCAGTAATCAATAAGGGCACCTACAGATGTGTAATGAGGCTGTTCTGACACATTTACAGTGCATCAGAGCAGACTCTATTAATCAAGTCTACCGGAGCATGATAATTACTGTGCTCCAGCAGACTCCAGCATCATGTGTATTAGCACCCCTGCCCTGAAAAATGGCAACAAGGGTGCTTTAACTACAGCTTGTTTGACAAGCCCCCACCACCATTTTTCAGCATGGAGATACTGATACACATGATGCTCTGGGTGTTTTAATTAGAGAGGTTTTCAGAGCCACTCTAATTAAAATGCTACCCCCCTGTGCCCCCACTGCTTTCCAGAGGACATGTATAAATGCCCAGAAATACTAATGAGGTTAGAACCTTTTCTACTGTATTGTAAGAAATGCCTTTATGCAGTACTGTTAAAAACAGTTCTTGTAAATACATCCATTGTGCTGCTGTAGACAAGACCTACATGTTTTTATCAGAGCTGAATAGAAGTCTGTGTGCAGAGAACAAAAATGTAAGCAAAGAACCCCCTCCCCCATGTATTTCATACATTTACCTTCATTAATCATTTTTCAGAAGAAAGTTTTATTCTTTCATGTAGTGCTCATAGTACTTAATGCATTAGGTGACCAATATTTATGCTTCAGAGTTCTGATGACACACTCACTTTTAAATCATATAGTCTTAAGTTGGGGAACAAACTTTCTCAATTAATATTTTATTGTGGTGTTGTTGAAGAATAAAGATGCGTTCAGCCATAGATTTTAGCCTTCAGTTGCATGTTAACAGTTTTAAATCACTGTTTTAGAAGTTCATTTGTTGGGAACCTCCATTCTGTGGTTCAGAATTAATAAAAAATAATACTAACATCTTGAGCTAACATTCTTCAGTTCTAATGGGGGCAAAATATCCATTGAAATCAATTTTGATTTATTATCAGCTTCATCCTCTGAGTATTAAATAACAAGTAATATCATAGACACACATGGACATCCATGAAAACTTTTGCATTTGCTTTTACTCCCTCACTTTTCTATCATATATAGTACTTGAGTGCATTTTAAAGTATTGTGGGAGCTTCCAGTTATTTACAAAAAATGCTGAACAGTTGCCAAAAGTTAATCTCCATTTATATGATTCAAATAATAAGAAAAAAAAAGGTCTAAAATTTCTATTTTGTGCCTATTTGATCTTAGGGACCAGCGGGTCAAAAAGGACAACCAGGTATACCGGTATGTTTCATCCCTTTTCATATGTGCAATAGTACAAACATGGGAGATTTTTTGCATTTTAGAAAGGAAGTTCAATGCTTATTTTAGATTTATTATAGCATATGGGATAAAAGCCAAATCTCCATTTGCCTTACTCATGTGCAGGGATCCTGGTTTTCTTGGTTTAAAAATCACAAATTCTCTGATTCAAAATCCACATTTTTTCATGATTAAAATAAAACACCACTATATATATATAGCTATCAGTTGAACACAATGTTTTATTAATATATTTACAATTTTAAAGCAGTCTGTAAGCCTACCAGTGCCTCATTCAGAATAATTAAATATATTATAAATACAGACAGTCCTCGGGCTTACGACACAACTGGTTCCTGAAAACTGCGTCTTAAGTCAAAACATTGCAACTTGGAACTAATTTTCTCGTAAGAAAAAATGTTATAAATGGGGGACTGGTTCCTGAACCAAGCCCCGATACCTTGTTTTCACCGAAAATACCCCAGAATTTTGTACTTGATCAATTATAGATGAGTAATATAGCTACATTAATGTATTTATATTGTAAATAGCAATCATATTGATTTGGAAGGACTTCTTTGAGGTGACTTTGCTGGACTTTTTGAAGGGCTCTTGGTTGGACTTTTTGAAGGTTGTTGGCTGGAGTCTTCTCGGGAGTCTTGGCTGCAGGTTTTTCTGGAGTCTTGTCTGCTTTCTTAAAGAAAGTGTCCAAGAAAGTTTGGACAGATGTTCTCCAGAGAGATGAGCGATGCAGTGAACTTGTTCACTGGCATGGTGTTGCATTGGATCAAGCGTTGTAAAGTCAAAACTGGCGTCATAAATTTGAAACAGGGTGTCAGTTTATGAACGTTGTAAGTGTGAAACGTTGTAACTCGAAATGTTGTAACTACAGGACTGCCTGTACTTATAAATTTTGGTGTTTGATTTGGGGGGTTTTATAATGGAAAATCAAAGCTCTCCCTGCCCCCTTCACTTACCAGGACACAGGTCCAGCTGAGGCTATCTCTCCACTGCTTTGTGGTGCTGAGCAGCCCTAATATGCTGGTTCCCTGCCCATGCCAATGCCCCTCACTCCCCACCCACAGCCTCCCAGCCCTGCCGGTGCCCTTCATTCAACATCTACAGTCCTCAAACCCCCAGCCCTACTGGAGGGGGCCCTCAACCGCCAGGGCTCCCAGCATGGGAGCCCTGGCTGCTGCCTGCAGGAGGCACAGAGCGTGGTTTTCCTTCCCCCACAGGTGGCATGGCCGGAGCGGCGCCCACGTAGGGAAAAGTGCATGCTGCCCACAGTGGGCAGCTCATACCCTCCCCTGTCCTGTAAACTAAACTGGGGGACACATGCCTCCAGGAGTGCGCACAGTGGCAAGGAACCACAACCCCTACTGACCCTGGATGAGCTACCCGTGTCTCCATCCTACTCCCCACCTAGGCCCTGCAGCCAGAAATGGCTGCAGGCTCCAATTCCCATGCACCACACCAGCTGAGCAGCAGCCCCAGCCATACCCAACTCCCTCCCTCACCATGGAGGCTTCATTTCCCTTCTCCCCACCCCCATCTTACCTGTGGGAGCTGCTCCACACATGCACGAGGTGCCCCCTGCCTGACCGCCCTCCTCCCACTCCCTCCAGGCCCTTCCAGGCTGGAACTCTGCCAGCCTGCAAGGGGAAACCCACAATTTCCCTCATCTTTTGCCTTTAAAGCAGAAAATCCAGGTTTTACCAATTTTTTCCATGGCGAATGGAAAATCCAGATCTCTGTTCATGTGACTAGTCTCAGGGTTTTCAATAGTCCACATACAGCAGCATAGTGCAGAAGCTTAAACCACCTTGAGGTTAATGGAAATAAAGTATGGGACTAGATGTTCCACCAAAAAATCTTGCCTCTTGAAAAGGCTTGAATCTGAGCTTGTGCTCTTATACTATAGTCAGAACACTATAGAAACCCGTATTTTGCAAAATATGGTATGAGAGCTTTCACAAGGAAAATATTTAATTTAAGGGACACTTACCAGTCAAATCTGAGTCAAAATGAAATCTCATGCAAGAACCTGATGCAAAACCTAAGAGAAAAAGTACATTTCCATACTCCTTGCCCCTTCCCTCTATTATCTCTACCAGGCATAGGTAGAAAATAGTCTAACTTAAACTTAAAAACCCTTTCTCAAATATGTGCTTTATGTATTATTTTAATTGATTTGTTTATAAATGCTTCCTTAAAATAATAAACTTTTTATTATTATTTGTTTCTAGATTTTTTTTAATAAATCATATTAAAATGCAGATATGATCATTCTGTTGGGACATGCTGATAATGTCTTCACAGGTTATGCTAAGAAATGTAATTTGATCTAACTGGTGACCATTTAGAAGAGCATCACTCAGTGAAAGGAACAAATAGGAGTTGTTAAAGATTTTAAAAAACATAATATTGTTCTACTAATAGATTTATCATGATCAGTTGAGGAACTCTTTACAAGATGCTATCTCTTGATACAGGGTGTGAAAGGAGATCCTGGTTTTGATGGCTCTAACGGAGATCAAGGATTTAGAGGACCCCAGGTAAACAGTAATGCACACCCAGATATTTTTGAGGGGACAAAGGACTAAGTGGAGAATCTTTGTCCAAAGATGCAACTCCGAGGATGTACTCTGTGTGAGCACAAGCACTACAGAGAAAAAGGACTGCAGCACAGTATTAACTACTCTAACCTCCCTGGATTTAATCCTTCAAAACCTACAGATCTCCCTAGTCTGCAGTGAAGATATTCATCTGAAAGAATGGATGTGCCCCTTACTCTTTCTATTCTTCCATTTGAAATACCTACCTTAGTGTGGATGTTGTACAACACAGTGCTGCCTAATCTTTACACTTTTTAGAAGTTCCATGCTATTGAAGTGCTAAGTGGTATTATTTGTAAAGGATGGTCTTTGGCATGTTCACTTGGAACATACATATTTGTGCATTAGCTGAATTTTCTATGGTGTCTGCTTTCTAGGGACCTGGAGGAATTCAAGGTGTGAAAGGAGATCCAGGGAGTCAAGGAAATAAAGGTCCTCAGGTAAAAATATTGCACATAGACCCATTCTGCATATGCTCACTATGTGCATAACTGGTGGGAGAGTTCAGTTTTTAATAACTTGCTTAAATTATTTCTGTCTCTGGACTGCTATGCAGTGTATCATCAGGAAAAAACATAGATGTATTTCATGAAGGGGGGAGGTAAGCAATTTTACAGCTGTCACAAAATTATTTAACATTATAAGGAAAGAAAAGAAATTCACAATGTCAATAACAGTCTATTTATATCATGACCCACCAATTTACTTGAAGATGTGAAGGCACATATAGGCATAGGTATGTCACCATATATACATTGCAGGAATACATCTAAATATTTCTAAGGCTGCAAAGTCAATCCCTCAAGAATTAGAAAATTACAAAATTAAGCTTGTCCCCATGTGCAAATGTCTGATGCTAGTAATCAATTAAATGATAATATATAGTTTTTTTCCTGTGTGAAAATCTGAGAGCTGTAACCATTGTCTTGACAACCACAAAATCAGTGGTTGCATGCAAAAAGCAATGCCATTAAAGTGATGCAAAAGAGCATTTAAGTTGCCTTAAAGTCCAATTTTGTGGTGTGTACAAAGGCTCATAGAATCACAGAATCGAAGGACTGGAAGGGACCTGCAACATCATCAAGTCTGGTCCCCTGCCATGGGCAGGAAGTCATTGGGCTCAGACAAGCTCAACAAAGTGCTTGTCCAACCTCATCTTGAACACCTCCAAGGATGGCAACTGCACCACCTCTGCTGGGAGTGTGTTCCAGATTCTGGTGACCCTGACAGAGAAAACGTCCAGCCAGAATTTACCCTCTATTAGCTCGTGCCCTTTGGTTCTCATCCTCCCTTGAGGTGCCTTCCTGAAGAGTTGTTCCCCTAGCTCTTGATGCTCACATCTGACATACCTGTTGGCAGCTATCAAGTCACCTTTCAGCCTTCTCTTACTCAAACTGAACAGGCCCAGTTCCCAGAGTCTCTCCTCATAGAGCCTATCCTCCATGCCCCTAATCATATGGGTGGCCCTTCTTTGTACCCTCTTGAGCTTATCCACATTTTTCTTGAAGTACAGTGCCCAGAACTAGATACAGTACTTGAGCTGTGGCCTCACCAATACCAAATAGAGAGGGAGGAATACCTCCTTGGATCTATTGGCAACACATCAGCTGATGCACATCCAGGGTTCTATTTGCCCTTCTGAGAACCTCATCACATTATTGGCTCATGTTCATCTTCCAGTCAGTCATGACCCCCATGTCTCATTCAGATGATGTGCCAGCCAGTGGACCACCACCCATTGTGTAGTTATGGTGAAGGTTCTTCCTATCCAAATGAAGAACCTTGCAGTTCTCCCTGTTAAACTTCATCTGATTCTGTTCTGCCCATAAAACTAGTCTGTCAGAGTCATCCTGGATCTCTACCCTATCCTCTGATGTATCCTCTGATGTTCCCCACAGCTTAGTACCATCCGCAAACTTAATAACTGAGCTTTCCACCCCCTTGTCCAAGTCATTATTAAATATGTTAGCAAGCATGGGTCCAAGCACCGATCCCTGGGGGACACCACTGGAGACAGCCCTCCAGGCTGAGGCCATCCCCTGCATTACAACTCTCTAGGATCAGTCTCTAAGCCAGTTGTCCACCCACCTCACTGTAGGATGGTCCAGCCCAGTACTCTCCAGGTTGGTTGAGAGAATCCTGTGGGAAACAGAATCAAAGGCTTTACTGAAGTCTAAGTAAATGATATTAATCTCGCGTCCTTTATCCAGATGGTTAGTTACTTGGTCGTAGAAGGACACGGGGTTTGTCAGGCATGATCTACCCTCAACAAAGCCATGCTGGTTGCTTCTTAATACCCCATCAGTTACCAGCTTGTAATTGATGGCCTCCTTAACAAATGTATTTAACTTTTTCAAATTTTTTTTCCCAGGACCAAAGTCAAACTGACTGGTCTTTAGTTTGCAGGGTCATCCCTCTTCCCTTTCTTAAAGCTAGGCACCACATTGGCCCTCTTCTAGTCATCTGGGACCACTCCCAAGATCCATGACTCTTCAAACAAATTTGTCAGTGGCACTGCTATAAGCTCAGCCAGATCTTTCAGGGCTCTTGGATGCAGTGCATCTAGCCCAGCAGACTTGAAAATGTCCAAGTGTTGTAGGAGATCCCTCACCTGTTTGGGACTGATTTTATGTAGTCTGTTGTCTTCCCCATATACCCTGGGCCTCTGGTCAGGTGAACAGCCCTGTGATCACTGTGGGGCCTTACGTGTTGCACTGCCTCCCGGGTGAGTAGCCCCTCCCCTCAACTCATCTGCCATGACTTTGATGTTATGCTATCAAGAGAGGGGTTCAATGGAGATCTTCCTGAGAGGGCCTCCTGGCAAGCGGCAGTACTCACAATTTTTTTGGTGTGATGTTCCACAGGGTTCCGCCTCCCCTACACCCCGTCCACTAGCCAACCAGAAGGGTGTCTGTACAGTGGCGGCTTCGGCCCTGCGGGCTTGCCCACAGCTGGCTTCGGGTGGGGTCCCACGTCTGCATGGGCTCTGTTGGCTCTTGTCCCTCCAGCCTCGATGCACAGCCTTCCCTCTTGATCTCTTTGATTTTTTTCCCTTTTTCCTTTCAAAAGAAGTATTCTCCTGGGGAGAAGAGGGATGTGGAGCTGCCTTCTTTCCCCCAGCCTCCTACAGGGGACTCGAATGCCTCCCCTGCTCTGCCTCTTACAGGGAGCTTAAATGCTTCTCCTTGTCTGCCTTCCATAGGGAGCTGAAGGGCTTCCCTTGCTCTGCCTCTGGCAGGGGGCTCAAAGGTCTCCCCTGATCTGCCTGTCGGTGCTGCGCCAGCTGTACCACTCCTCTCTCGCGTAGGAGCCTCAGCACCTCTGGCATGCTGGCCACCAGCTCTCTCTCTCTCTGGCTCCCTTTCTGCCCTGGTCCTGGCGGGGCTTTTAAACTTTCCCACGGTGGCCGGTATGGCCGCTGTGATTGGTCCAGCTGTTCTCCGTGTGGGTTTTGGGGCCCACGGGAATTACCCTCTCCCCTTCGGGAGCCTGTGGGGGTGTCTCACCACCACAAGCCCCCATTTGATTTCAGAAATTTATGGTGCCTGTGATGTATTTGAGACAAAATTTTGGACCAGATTCTGCCCTCATTTACACAGGGGTATCATCCATTGGAGTTAGTGATATATTCAAAATCAGCCTGAGGCAAAACACCAATATTGCATTCATATAACTTTAGCCTTCTGGGTCAGTATATCTGTTATACATACACAGATGTATTTGGACTATGGGGATGAGAAATCGATAGTAATTTCATCTAGGCTTTTTTTATTAATAAAGAATAAACTTTAAACCAACAGCATAATCATCTACAGGATGTACCTCTAAACTGAGGCAGCCATGTTAGATAGCTTCATAGACTGAAAAAATATGATACCCATCAAACTACTGAGTAATCTTCAGCACAGACAAAATTGCTGCAGTGCTGGGAGGAAAATAATTGTTTGATCCAGACTTGAAGGAGGGAATCAAAGCATTATTTGAGTTGGATGTACTTGTCAGCTGCCAGATATAGTCAGATGTAGTTCTGTCAGTGCCTGTTGAGCTTATTGTCAGTCAACAGGAAATGCAATAGTGCATAATTTGTTACCAAAAAGAATTAAAGTGATTTATCTGTTTTTCCCACAAAATTCTCACATGGCTTCTTAATACTTGTTTAATTTTAGGGGATCCCAGGAAGTGAAGGTTCAAAAGGGAATCCTGGAAGTCCTGGAGTAAGAGGAAGTAAAGTAGGTCACATACCCTACTCTGATTTTGTTATTGAGATGGTTTTAAAATTAAATCTGTGTATTCCTGCCTGATAATCTTGCTGGTGGATCAGGTCTTTGTTCTCAGTAGCAGTTGCATGAACAATACAAGGAGACAATGTGGCCATAGCAATGGAAATGAGATTTACTGTAAAAACTCTGGGACTTTGGGTTGAAGGTTTTACTGCATTCAGCTGATTTTAATATTGGAGAGATTAATCATGTCCAGTAGGGCTGTGTGAAATTTTGCCAGCTGTTTCATTTCAATGCTGTTTTGACTCATTTCGAGCTTCAAACAGTGAAATTGAAACAAAAGGAAGGGTTTTGGAACAACCTCAAAATGAAACAAGGGCAGCCAAAACATTTTGAAATGTTTCAAGTTTCAAAGCTGAAGCTGGGCTTGCCTGCAGGGAAACAGAAAGTAAGGAGGTAGGGAGGGAAGAGGGAGGAAGGACACAGTGAGGGCACACCTTAACACACATTCTGGAGAAGAAGCTCCTGCAGGAGGAAAGAAAGGCTCTGTCACAGTTTGGCTGCCTGAGATGCTGCTGATGCTACTGTGCTGCTCACTAAGTTATTGTTTTACCTGTTGTCATTTAAAGTGGTGGACTGGATGAGGCTGTAGGGGAGGAGGAGACCTCATTGACACACGCTACCATATCATGTAGAGGCCCCAGCGCCAGTGAGGGCATGCCTTAACACATACACACAACGTCGCACACGTATGAGTTTTACTTGTCATTAGCTTGAGGTGCAGTTTCCAAGAAACCCCTGCACCTATCTCCTCGAAAGCTTGCAGGCTTCATTCTCTCAGAAGAGGCTACCAGCCTTGCTCTTTTCATTCAAATCTGCCCAAAAATGACAAAGTTATAGGCAGTTTATGTTTCCCCGTTATAGCCTATGGGTGAAACATTGAAACAGCACTGAAACAGTTTCGACGAAATAAAACAGAACAGCGCTTTTGAAATTAAATGAAACTCAAAATGAAACACTGTCCCATCAAAACAGCAAAACAGAAATCAAAATGAAATGATGCTGTTTTGCACAGCCCTAATGTCCAGAGGGTTTAAGGTGAATTCCAATTCAGACATCTGGCATCATTTAAAAATTTTCATTAACAGGGTGAAGGCAGGAGAGATTCTATGACAAAGCAAGCTGTTGCCTATGAAAGCTTTATGCCTTTTTGAATGAATTAGTCTCTAAGAAACCACCCTTCCCTGCCTTCTGCCTGATGTCAGACTAACACAGTGCGTTACTTCTTGTTATTTGACAGGGAGAAACTGGTGAACCTGGACCAAAAGGACTTGTAGGACCATATGGTTCCCGGGGGATGCAGGTATGTAATTTATTGTCTCTTTGGGCAGCCCCTCCTTGCATTTCCATTTATAAATCATTTGTAACCTCTGCCCTCATAACATTTGAATTTTGCTACCAGCAGGGACCAACTGTACAGTCAATTAGAATATGAATATGGACAATAATAATTGTGTTAAAGTGCAGTAAAATAAAGATACATGATTTAAATAAAATGGTCTGTTCATAGGGAGAAGATGGTATTGACATACAAGGTAGAGTAGGAAGAAAAGGTGTAAAGGTAAATATGCAAAAGAAACTATGTATGGATACTCTAACTGTTTATTACATTATTTTTTAAATCATGTACAGTAAGAGAAAAGTGGTTTTCTATTAATATCTGAGGTCAGTCTCCCAAACTCTTGCTTTTTACCATAAACCTTTCCATTTTTGTTGCCATCTTTTACTATGTAAATCCTGCAATCTGATCCATACAAGCAGATCACTTTGCACACAGATGGAGTCCCTTTGACTTCACTAACACTTGTATGGTCATGAAGTTCTGTCTGTCTGGGGCATATTGCAATAGAAAAGGAGCATAAGCAATCTGAAGAGCAATAAAACAAATATTGAGTGAGCAGTCTCAGTGTTCAGAGCAATTACAGGTGGCTGGCAGGCTAACCAATGCCAGCTTCTTGTTCAAACCCATTCTTACAGGAGATCAAGACAAATATATCTTTCGAGTATTTTAATAGTAGCTTCTTGCTACTTGACCAATCATATGCTTATGTACTGAACAGCACAGTAAGTCCACCCTTAGTGTATTCTTTTAAAATAATACTTATGTAAGAAAACTAGAAAAAGCAGAAACCCCAAAGCTGGATTCCTCAGCTTTTTTGTTTTTATGGGTAACAACTCCCAGACACACAAGAATTTTTTATTCAAGTCTTTTAATTCTATCAATGCAACTCTGTCCTTCATAGCTCCTCCTATCAGTATTAACCCACTTTACTACCCGATTCAACCCTTCCTCCTCCCCATGGAAATTATCTTCTAAGCACATAATAAAAAATACAATTGTTTGTGTTGACTTTTAACAATGATTGGGCCAGGCTTTTTCTGTATGAATGGCTGTTTCATTCTGTTTAGACTATAAGTTACTTGCTTTAAGGGTGGTCTTTTCTGTATTTTCTACAGTACATGTTGGCACCTCAAAAATAATAAATAGCAGTAATAAAACTTTCTCCAGCACACTCAATGTCATTGTTCATGTCTGGCTCTATCTATAGTTCAGAGAAACCAATGAGAAATAGGGTTAAAAAACTGAACAGGAAGAACAATGTGATATATTTTGTGTCTCTTTATATATGACACACTATATATGTCTATCTATATATTACCAGTATAATAACATTTTAACTTTTCTACTGTAAATAACAGGGACAAAATGGATGCCCTGGAGATACTGGAATGCAGGTATTGTACTTTGCATCAAGATTGCAGCTTCCTAATTCTCCGCTCTGTTATAACGTTTTTGCACACATAACTTGGTTGTAGTTCAGGTTTTACTAATCTAAACCCAGGGTAACAGAATGGAGATTTTAAGAATGGAAATTAGTTTCCTTGGTAGTTTTTTGGTAAAATAGCATGAAACCGTCTTGCCTTTTTATGGGAGGAATATCCAGTCACTGTTCAGGAGTTTATGCTAGAAATTGCCCAAACAGCTTCTCCCTGCTACCTAGCTGTGGTTTAGTATAGGGAAAGCACCACTCTGAATGAGCCCATACTAGTCAACTGCAGTACAGTGGAGGGAGAGAGCCCCCTCCACTAAAGCCCCCATGCCTGACTGTGGCCATGAAGGCAGAGCCCCTTGCAGCTAAACACTGACAAGGCCACAGCTCCAGAGACTTGATCTAAATGCTCCAGCCTAGGCTGTGAATTGCCAACCCCTGGCCTGGACTATTTTAACACTGTTTAAGCCTTTAGACATGTTACTTATTGGAGGTTATCTATGAGTTTATTTGTAAAAATGACTCTAAGTCAGGATCATCCAAATTTGGGAATAGCTATGAATTGCACCTGCTGATTGGGAAGCAGGTGCCCCTATCTCACATCTTTCTGTCACTAGTGCAACAGGTAGCAGACAGCGTTAGCAATGACATAGTCTAGCCATCCAACTATATGCCAAAAATCCAATATTTTGTTTCTTATCCATCCATGTGGACCATCGTATAATGTGTAGAAATCTGTATGCTAAGCATAAATTGACTATTAAAATCATTTATATGAAAACTGCGCTATATGAAAATTTCATATGAAGTATAACATAGATATGTTACATAAGTGTCAGTGAACTCTGCTATATCTATATCAGATCATCTCATCCCCTAGAGCATGCCTAAGGGAAGTTTATGCAACGGGTTGAAAATATAATGTACAGACCATGACTGTTGACAAAACTATGAAAATTGCCTCCTTTGAAGAGTGAAGGATTTTTCATAGAAAAGCTCCCAAATTCTCAAATTTATTAAAACTAAACACAAGAAAGTCTGATGCATTCAACCTTAGCTTCTAGCAGTTCTAGACTTTCACGTGCTGACCATACAATGTGTTGATACAATAGGGTACTTGCAGCTGTAAACTCCCCCCACCCAAAACAGCGCTTTAAACTCAATGCATTCCCGCCCTGAGTCCCAGGCATGCCCAGGAGAGGCAGCAAATTACTTAAAACATTGTGGTTCAGTGTCTATAAAATCAGGCACTTAAGCGGGGCTTTTTTGGCGCTTTTATCTAATAGCTGATTAAATCAGCTTTAGCTGAAAGTGCCAAAAAGCCCCACTGAAGCACCTGATCTTTACAACCACTGCAGAACTGGGTTGAAGTAACGCGTTGCTTCTTCTGGTAAAGCGTGGGGTTTTTTTGTTTGTTTTTTGAAACATCTGTAAGTAGCCATAGATTCTTTGAGGGAAAATATATTAAACAAGGCATGGAAAAAAATATGGGTCATACTAGTTATGTTAATGTTCTGCTGCGGGAGCAGCAGAAACAGCATCTTGTGGACCAAATCAAGAATCCAGTGCCACTCACCCCACACAGCAACAAGCGTCTGAGCTGCAGTAGAGTCTGTCGATCCCAGATGGGCCTCATCAGCAATCATCTTCAGACACACAGATAAGACAATCATGGAAGACAATCATCGCTAACTATGAAGAACTGCCAAAGAAGAATGTAAAACCTCAGGCTTTTCCTTCCATTCTCTTGTTTTTCCTCGCAGAATTTTCTGCCGTTAATATTTTAATTACAGTTAGGATGAATCTATATCTGAGGCTAGCTGCTAGGGACTGGCAGAGCTTGATTCAAGGCAAGGAAAGATTTCTGTCCCTCTGATCCCAGGACTGTTTGGTGCAGGTGACCAGCTTTTCCCTAGTATAAATATTGCAGCCTAAGGGCTTGATCCTTACCAGTTAAATGAATGACAAAATTCCCTTGACTTCAACAATGTAGGATTGTCTGACCATTTGTCAAGGCAACAGGACTGATCTTTTCAGATAGGAACTGCCAGCGCATGATGGACTTGAACCAGGGGCGACACATAGGGGGAGCACGGGAGTGCATGTGCACTCCCTGAGCATGACGGTGCATCCCCTGCGACAGTGTCGGTGGCGCCTGCTGGCAGTCACCACTCGCCACCCTGCCGCCGATGCCACCAACGGCACCTGCAGGCGGTCCGCGATCCCCACTGACCACCACCAACACTGCTGGCAGTGACTGTGGGAGTTCACCAACCCTTGGCTGGTGCTCGCCAGCCCCCCCATCCTGCTGCCACCAACAGCACCAGCAGCATCTGCTGGAGCTCCCTCGTTTACTGCTGCCACCACCGCACTCCTGCTGCTACCATGCCCCCCAGCCACCAGGGGCATGCGCCGTTCATGACTTGAAACATAATCTATTCTACCCCTGATTCTCTGCTATCCTGGGGGAAGAAAATAGTATATCATCAGTTACTCTGGCTTAGCACCACCAGGAAATTTTCATAGTTATATCAGCATTTCTGCTGCCCTAGTAAGGTACCTTTCCACGTAGTTTTGCACTCTCAAGACCCATTATGTGTCCCTGAGGAGGTATAAAGTAGCTAGAAGAGGCTGGAGAATCTGGGAGATTTGAATCTAGTAAGCAGTCGTGCAACAAGCTTACGCAGCTGAGCATCAGTGAAGTAAAGCATTCAAACTGTTGCACTTTAGTTTAGAGTTTCTCACAGGTAGATGCCAAAATCAACCTAACCTGAAGAATATTTTCATGCCTCCACCACTGAACAAATAGGGCTTCCATACAAGTACTAGTTAAAAATAATAAAATGTAACAAAATCCTCCTGCTCACTTCTGACTATTCTGCAGTCATTAAACAATACTTGGAATATTTGTTTCGCAATTGAAGTGTAAATATAAATACAGTACTGGGCCAACATCCAGTTATATTAGATGAAAGCTTAGGCTGCAAAATTCAGAATGGGATCTGGAATTTTGTTTCAGGCTTTAGGAGAGAAAAGAACCAGCTATAAATCAAATTTTGGATCCATATTTGGTTTTGAACTGTGAGCTTCCCCCACTCCTTTGAAGCTCAAAGATGTTCTGATCTAGAGTTTTAATTTGGGGTCTAAGGGCAAATCTTTCCCAGCCACTTTTGGTGGAGGGCTGGGTCAGGATAGGGAGGAGGTATGGAAAAGTCTGTACCCAAGTTCTCCTGGGTGTTACTCTGGTAGCAGACCAGAAAGAAAAGCATTTGCAGAGTGCAGGGATAAGAACGTAAATGTTTCCCATTGGCTCAGCTGTGTCTTTATGTCAAAGTTGCACCTTGTTCTCTGTTTTTCTGAAGGTTTTCTCCTGCAGTTGTTACGTGAAAACAGTTCAGCTGTATTGTTTTCATCCTAGTGTAGGTTTCCTGTACAAGTGTGTAGACCTGTGTGGCTGTAAAATTCTCATGTAACCTAACCTATATGTTTTTCTGCCTCTAGAAGTGGGATGTAAAAATGGGGAAATAAGCTGCCATTTAAACTTCTTTCATGAATTGCTTTTTTTGATCATGCTTCAATTTTGCTGTTTCTAATTTTAATTAGGGTGAAATGGGTGATGCAGGAATTCCTGGTGAGCCTGGACCAAAAGGAAATGTGGGAAACATGGCAAGTAACAATGTATATTAAATTATCAATGCTGAATTGTTCTTGGAGCTGATGTGTGGGTTTAGGACAGGGTGGAAAACAATGCTGCTGTTACACCCACCCAGTTGCACCATTGACTCGGCAGCAGCTGTAAGTTGCCGTTTCCCACATGTGTTGCAGATGTCCCAGGCACCTAGTTGTGTTGTTACCCCTCTGAAGTGAGGACATCAAATCAGTTTTCAAATATTTGAAGAGCTGCCTCAAAGAGGAGAGAAAGCAACTGTTCTTCTTTACCACTGGAGGCAAGGCATGAAGGATGGTTTCAAATTGAAGCAGAGCAGATTTAGATTAGATCTCAGGGGGAAAAAAATCTTCTTTGCTATTAAGAACAGTAACAGTGGAGTAGACTGTCCAGGAAAGTTGTGGATTTCTTTCTTTGTGGGGTCACTTCAGGACTTTTGCTGTATCTCCATGAAAAAACAATGAGACTAATGGTCCTAAATCATCTAGGCACTTATGAATATGTTGTTCACAGACATTAACAAAATAGATCCAGGGCTGACAGCTGCAAGCCATTGGTGGTAAAAGTATACATTGGTTTGGAGTGTACATTTGTCACTTCTAGGCCAAGAGAAGCTCTTTCCAAAGCACTCTCAGAAATCGGGGCTATTCCTAGGTCAGTCTGCTGCTGAAGCAGAATAGAATGAGCTTTAAAAGCAGTTTTAAACTGGTTTGCCTGCATTAAGAAACCGTGGACCAGCATATCTGTTTTTACTGCAGCCACTCCCAGCCCAGCCTCTCTGGTGCAGACCTTGTGCAAAGTCTGTCTGAGATCAAGGGGTGCATAGCAAAGGACGCAGGTCTTCAGTTGCAATTTCAATCCAATTATCTCAATACCCATGACAAACGTTAATGAATTTAACTCTCTGGTGTCTCTGAGATAAACAGACATTTTACCAGGGAGAAAGCTGAGTCAAAGGAAATTACATGACTTTCCCATGGTTGTACTGAGAAGGAAGGGAATCCCTGTCACTGTTCAGTAAGCATTGCTAGGATTCAGCCACAAAAAAGTAGTAATGTGATGCCAGAGGCATAGCTGCACTTGAGTGGTGCAGCAATGGTATACAAGGCTGAATCAGGGGATGCACTGCCTGTGGCCAGGCTAGCAAGGCAGAAGCTGTTATTTTTGCTCCTGCCCTGATCACCCCACTTGTAACACCACTGTAGGATGCCACCCTCTACACTTTTCCTCTTTCAAAAAGGTTACACTTGAAATTATATAGGCCTTGGCATTAAACCAGGAATATCTTTGCTGAATTCAGTGGAATTAAATGGACAGTATTAAAAGGATGGCATTAAGAAGTGGTATTAAAGAGAAGGAGAATTGGGCTCAAGACCCGGAGGAAGCTCAAGAAGTTTATACAATTTATTGTGATTGTCACTATGATTATCATTTATACCAATGTTTTCAGGGCACTGCAGGCAATGCTGGGAAAATAGGCGATCCAGGAGACCCAGGACATCGAGGACGTAGGGTATGAACTTATTATATAAAGTGTGTGTGATTTTTATATCTGTATGTATTTACTTTACATGAAAAGCTGCTCTTTTAAATTTAGATAGGAAGTTGCTCAGTGATGATATTAACTTTTGGGAGGTTTTTTGTCCTAGATTTACAATCTGGATGTAATGATCTAAACAATTAATACATCAACATTTATTTGGAATGAGAGCTTAGCTGCTTGATTATGTCATTTTGAAGCGTGAATTCTATATTCTTGCCAGCAGTATGAAAATGCATATTTGTTTATATGAAAATATTGTGTAATACTCTGAGCTACCATGGCAAGGGTCAGATTTTCAGAGAAAAAGGAGGACCCAGAGTTCATGAATACAATTGCGTGTCCATATTAGTGCTCCTGAAAGCATCAATCAGGGCATGCCATGCATCATTTATTATTTAGACACCCAAGTCCGGGTAGCTGATTACACATACAAATGTGATTAACTTTATGTGCAAATTTAAACAATATTGATGTCCCTAAGTGTGCCTCCTCTGAAAAAAGGAACTTTAAGTGCAATATTCAGAATGCCAAACATATTTTTTTTTGTTTTGTTGTTCATTTTTAAAAAAGCAATAAGTAAGAAATATATGTAACTCTTCTGCCAGGCACCAGTTGACAGCACCAAGGGCCAGGCTCAAATTTCAGGGTATCCAGTTGCCTTTGGAATTGTTTCTGTTCAAGCCTGAAGTTCTAATCATGGCTTATGTTGGTAAATTAGTCTATAATGCTTAACTGGAAAGCTAGGATCAAAGTAGCTATGCCAAGATTTCACTCATCTCTGGGTGCATCTATACATCGCCATACATCTACGATGTTGCTACGGTGCCGTGCTTTTAGTACTTCTTCCTTTATGGAAGTACTAAAGCACAGCGCAGTAGCAGCTCATCCTGCTCTGTGCGGGTGGTGCACGCTTAAATTTTCCTGCTACGTTGCCATAACAAGACTATAAGCAGGGAGTGTGCCGCTATGGAGAGGTAGCAGGCGATCACGTGAAGACCCACATGATCACTTCATCACTGTAGCACACTATACAGTGACATCATCGCAGTACAGCAATATGTAGACGCTCCCTCTGAAATTGTGTCTAGACTCCACTCAAACCTGAGTCTTTTTTTCAATCCTGGTCAAATAAAATACCCAGTTAATTTCCCGCTATGATACATTGATGTTTAGGAGCAGTGATGTTAGATCTGAATTTTAAGCATGCTGGGCATATCTCCATGAGATGTTTACTGTGGTGTAAACTAATTCACTTTGCAGTAAATGTCCTGTGTCTACGTGTGTGGCCCTATTAAGCCATAGGAAACTAGTTAACTCCACTGCAAGTGGAGTACTATCCTGCTGTGAGTTTTGTTTTTTTTTTACTCTGCAGCACTGCACAAGTAGATGCTGATGTGGCTGGCTGGGGAACAAGGGTGCTTCAGTGTGGGGGCTGCCTGCCAGCTAGACCCACATTGGAGCACCCTCGTGCCCCAGCCAGCTCCACCACAGCGTGTTGAGCTGGGTTGGGGAAGCTCCAGACTGGCAGGTAGCCCCAGCTGTCAACATGGTGTGGTCCTGGATGCATTTGTAAACGCAGCACCCAAGAGCAATAAACTCCAGCACAATATGTGCCAGAATTTATTGCATCACATTAATATGCATATATAGATGTGCCCACTAAGTACTTCTCCCCGTGTACATTTTTATTTATTCTTCGTTCTTTCTCTCTCAAATTCCCCAAAATAAAATATCCAGACTGAAACAGTAGCAGCTGTAATGATTTTGGAATTCTTAAGGTTATAACAATATGATACACAATCAGAGATAAAATAGTTCAATTGGCTTATCTCGAGCCATTCTTACAGCTTATTGTCATTAACTATGGAGTGAAACTATTTGAAGAGAAGTAGTAATCTGTAACCTTTGATCTTATAGGGGCCAAGAGGACCAAAAGGAGAGTCCTCATTTCCAGTAGGTATCTCTAGCATAGCCTATTTTTAGGAGTTTAGAAATCACTTGGCCAGATGAGCACTTTCATTTTTCCTTTTTCTACCCACAGGAGTGTGGCCTAATTAACTATGTACGCAACCACAGCCGTAAGTACTGCATCTTCCTGTGTAATGTTAACAGCTAAAATGATATGCTGGGGGAAGATAAATAAATTCTTAGTAGGCACTTAGGAATAATCGATGCCTTGTTGAATAACGAGGATGGCTCATGTGTCCTTCAAAGGAATGTGTGTGTCACAATTACTCAGTCTGCAACTGAGTGGCATAAATCAATCCTTTATAACAGTGGTACTCAACCTCTGGCCTGTGGGCCAAATCCAGCCCACAGGGCCATGTCATCTGGCATGCAGGGCTCCCCACAGGTCTGGAAATTTGGTGATGGGGGAACAGTGTCAGTGTTAATTACTGACGCTCTGGAAGCCACTGCAATGATACTGCCACTGGTCCCCTGCCACTACATTTCTGGACCCATGGGCGTGATAAAGTGGTCCTGCATGCTAGGTCACTTTGGTGCGTGGAGCTGGGCTAGCATGTGTTGGGCCACTTCAGCATGCAGGGTCAGATCCAGTGTATGCAGGGTCAGATCCATGGTGCATGTGGCCAGATCCATGGGGTCACTCCATGTCTAGATCCAGTGTGCTAACCCCATGCTAGATATAGCATGTGGACCGACTCCACCTGCATGATCTTGCTTGTGGGGTTAGAAGGTTGAGAACCACTGCTTTATACAGATCGTAGGCCTGCTCATACATCCTTGTTCATGTGAGTAGTCCTAATTTTCAGTGACAATTCAGATGAGTTGGGAATATTTGGGAGCAGAGAATATTAGAGAGCATATTGTAGTGTTTTAGCCCAGTATTTCTAACTATAGGCACTGCCATAGCAAAAACTCAGGAGTTTTGCTGATCTTCTGAGTAACATCTATTATTGCCCCAAACTCTGTGGAAAAACAGGAACTGTCCCAATCTATAGTAGGTACATACAGAGCAAAATAAAGGCCAGATCCTGAACTCTCAGTACATGTAATATACGTAATCCAGTGAGAGATTTTTCCATTCACAAGGATTTCTGGGAAATAATGTGTGGGCAATGTCTATCACTAATTGTTTTATTTTTAAAGGTATTTTAGAAATATATATATTTTAATCTGCTAATATATATTTTTCCTTTTCCTTTCCTTTTCTTTTCCCTTTTTATGTTCAGGTTGTTGGAGTGGTAAGTACCACTTATTTTAATCAAAATAGTAAAACGTATTAATGCTTCTAGTGAAGGTAGTTAGGTTAGGCAGAAGCCTGAGTAGCTAAAACCAATTTTTTTGTTCTGGAGTTTTGCTTTTTGGTAGATCAATTATGGTTTTTCTCTGTCTAACTGAGCACTAAAACTATAGTTCCATAAAGAAAGTATGCTACTTGCTCCCTGCCCATTTTGTCACTGCTTTTCAAACTATCAAACTTTTCTTCCTGCAGTTGCAGAGTTTTGCTTTCCTTTCTCTTTGGCTTTCCTCTGAGTATGTTATACTGATGGAGATTTAAAAATAAAGAGTCACTCTGCTTTGCTTTGCTTTTGCTTTTGAGCACTTCAGCAAGTCCGGATCATCTAAATCCAGATTGACTAATATCGGCAGAGTTCAGTGGCTAAACACAGCCATCAAATAAAACTGCATAAATAAGGGTTGTTTTCCCCCCTTTTTGCCTATTTTATTATCTGATTTTCTAGGTGTAGCTAGAAAATAACCAAGCTGCTATAAGGGACAAATAACCGAGCTGCTATAAGGGACTATTGCTGCAGTCCCCTAAGTTATTTCATTTCCATTTATGACCTGATTTTTGAGAGCTGCTGGACACTTTCAGTTCATTAAATTCAGTGGAACCTACCTTTGATCAGCATCTCTGAAATTCAGGCCACTGTTGTAAATCATTGCATGTCTCTAAATCACTTGCCTTCAGATCACTAGCATTTCCAATCCTTTATTTCATTTGTTTCTGGAGTTGTTAGGCCCCATTTGGCTGACGCCCTAGAATGATGCAATTGCCAAATTGAAGGCATTTTCTTTTTTTCTTTTCTTTTCTTTTCTTTATCTTAATAG